CACCGACTCCTCTCCCAACTCTGGCTCCAAGTCACTGCCGACCGACTTCCTCCATCAAGCCATCAAGCCACCGACCTCTCCCCTAACTCTGGCTCCCCGTCACCGCCGATCGTAGTCGATCTCCCTCGAGCTCTCTCTCGAGATCCCCCAACTTAGGTACAGATCTATCTTTCTCTTGAGTTGAAGTCTTTGAGCCCTCACCTTTACTGAACTGAGGATCGTAAACCCGAAAGTCGGGATAGTATGTTGGCCATGATTTCCAATGGAAGGAACATTCCCAGCTTAATTTGTACAGCTACATGCTCTGCGTTCATTGATGAATTGATAAAAGTCAATTTCAATTGTTGAATTTCTTGCTTTGATAAAAAGAATAATAGAACAAAATTAGATGTATAATTACCTTTTCTTCTTTTTCTTTTGTCATTGTTTTTGGTTGTTGTGGCTGCTCTTTGCATATTCATATAATTACCTTAAATAACCTGTAGTTTCCCCTACTTTGCACTTAAGTACTTCCGATTGTTATTGGTAGCACATGTATACTTCATATTGCACTTAAATTTTCTCACTATTGCACCTTAGTACCCTCATTTATGTGAATATGAAAATTTCCCCCTTCGACGAGATTATACTGAATTACACTGAAGCTTTGTTCCTCCTTAATTGCACCTTAGTACCCTCATTAATTGCACCTTAGTACCCTCATTAATTGTACCTTAGTACCCTCATTTCTTGCACTGAAGCTTTTTTCCTCCTTCAACGAGATTATACCGAATTTATGAAATTTTATATTATATGTATTTTATATAGGTCAATTACAATTTTTGTGAGAAATGGAAAACTTGGGCACTGAAGCTAATGAAGTAAACTTGGACGATGATGATTTGATATATACTCCTCAAGTATCAGATGAGTTGAGGACGAAAAAGGGGCAAGAATTTAACACAATAGATGGTGTTGTGACATTCTACAATGCTTATGCTAAAGCAGCTGGGTTTAGTGTAAGGTCTTGGACTACTCAGAAAGAGCCGGGAAGTTATGAAATAAGAAGTTAGGAGTATGTTTGTTTTAAACAAGGAAAATCTCTAAAAATCGCGGATGTTGGAAAGAAAAGACGTCGAGGAAGCTTAGCTGAGAATTGTACTGCCAAAATTACAGTTTTAAAATCAAACTCCGGAAAATACATTGTTATTGTTTTTAATGAGGAGCACAACCACCTGCTATCAACATCATCAAAGGTTCATCTTTTAAGGTCCCATCGTAACGTTTCAGCTGCAACAAAGTCTTTAACTAAACAGTTTTCCATGGTGAATATACCTTAGCATCAACAATTTAGTTTTCTTGGAGTACAATCTGGAGGTATATAAAATATTGGATGCACTCAAAGAGATTTATATAATCATGAAAGGGATATACGTGCTGATATGAAGGGACATGATGGAGAAATGTTTTATGAGTATTTAAAATTGGAATAATGAAAGAATCCCTTGTTTACTTTTCAAATTGAGGCCGATGATGAACAAAAGATTACTCGTTGTTTTTGGTCTGATGCACGTTCAAGGTGGGCTTACAATTTTTTCGGTGATGTTGTAATCTTTGATACAACTTATAACACTAATCGCTATGGTCTGATATTTGCACCAATATTAGGGGTTAACAATCATGGTCAAACAATTGTTTTTGCTTGTGGATTTTTAAATCATGAGAGCGTTGATGATTTTGTATGGTTATTTAAACAATTTTTGGAAAGTATGCCTGGTGGTGCCCCGAAGATGATTATTACCGATCAAGACCCAGCTATGACTAAGGCATTCCCTCTTGTTCTTCCAAATACTTTTCACAGGTATTATAGTTTGTATATATTATTAAAAATATTTATATACATAGTCTTGTAGTTGTAAAAAGTTCAAAAACATCGGAATCCCATGTACGCACATTATCTCATATTTGATGAAGTTTGATGCTGAAATATTGCCCAATAAATACATCCTAAAGAGGTGAACTAAGTCTGCAAAAGCAGGGACAGTGGATGATGATAAAGGCAAGCAGATAACCACTGACAATTCTTATCTTTTAACACTGAGTCAATTTATCCAATCATCTTTGGATTTAGTTGACAAGTCCCTCATATGTGAAGAAATAAGGAAGATGTTTACCGATGGATTGCGTAGCGTTAATGAGCAAATTGACCAATTTCTTAGTAGCCGCATGACTGTAATGAGCTTCACCGAGAAAAGTAATCCAATATGTAGTGCAACTGGTTCTTGTACTTTTCAAAATAGTTTCAATGAACCCGATCAAGTACGAGCAAAAGGGTGCAGTAAAAAGGTTGAAAGGAGGAAAAGAGAAAGCAATGGCTAGAGCCAAAAATAAAAAAGATAGACGTTGCCACGGGTGTGGTAAAGTAGGCCAATCACATGATAAGCGAAATTGTTCTTCTATATGTGGTGATACAAATTTGCAAGAGGGCAATGGGTCATCAAGTGAAGATGGGGATGATATAAGCCTAAATGTTGGCTTTCTTGATTGAGTGAGGAAATTGTGCCAAAGCCTCAGAGCTTTCTAACTAAACATTACATTTGTTTTTAATAGCATCTTTTGTAAATATGTTCATATGCATGCCAAGCTGGTTATTTTTCGTAACTAAACATTACATTTATTTATTTTATTTTTTTGCAGGTTAGGTTACTCCAATCTCGAAGAAGAAGTTTCAGGGTTTTGTTGTGTGTTGCACCAATCATTGTTTCTAGTTTGTGATTTCTGTGTAGCTGGGGGCAAAGCACATTTAACTTTGTAGTTGTTTATGTTTGATTGTAACTAAACTATTTTCTTTTTTGGCTCTGTTATTACTCACTGTTTTGTTTTATATTACCACAACTCATCGTACAACTAAACTATGTTTCAGGGTTTTATATTACTCACTGATTGTAACTAAACTATGTTTGATTGTAGCTACTCGTGCAACTTGTCAATTTGAGAATGTTTCTCAAATTCTGCCTTTTGAGTAAATTGCTAGCTTGTAATTTTTTTTGTTTGAATTTCATTTGTCAGGCTTCATTTTGTGCTTCAGAATTGTCATTTGCGTTGACAAGGGACATAATGTTTCCCTTTTGTTCATGTTGTGTCACTTCATCTTTTTTCATTTTTGGAATGCTCTTTGCTATGAGGTCTTGCAGGTCTGGGATTTTAGTCAAAAAATTTCATTTTTTTCATGCTATACGGACATTTGTATGAGGTCTTGCTATGAGGTCTTGCAGGTCTGGGATTTTTGTCTGGGATTTTGTATGCTTCAGAATTGTGCCACTTTCATTTTTTTTCATGTTATACGGACATTTAAGTCCAAGTCTGGGATTCAACATCTAATTGTTTCGGTAGTTGTATGAGGTCTTGCAGGTCAATGTAAAGGGTAAGTTTATGCTGTACATACCATTTCCTCTTTTATACGTATTTTTGCTGTTTTAAGTTGTGATGTATAGTACAGTGCTATATATATGACTGTTGATCATGTGTTGAGAAACATTAGTTAAGTGGCATACGAGCTGGGAGCTATGGCAGCTAGGACCCAAGTGTGGCATGCAGTTTACTGAACTCTTTACAAATATTTACCAAAGGCGCAAAGCATGATTGTAGTGTTTCATATTAATGCATGATTACAATGGTAAAAAAATTCTTATTACACTGGCATTGTACATTTGACTACAGTGAATTACAATCTGATTCCCCAAATTATGCAAGTTTATCCAACCAATACAAGCTCAGCCACAAATTACATCACATGTTATTTGCAATGGAGAAACCAACAAATATCGCAACGATACATACTAGAAACACTAATATTGTAAACAATGAACCTAATACAAAAGCATAGATGGAGAAAATGGAAGTTTCCCCAAGTTTTTCCTTGTCCTCATCCAGATTATGCCTCACTGGATATCTTTGTTCTTGAGCATAAACAGATGTTTGGACATGCCTCGAGCTGGATGCTGAATCACGAGCGAGTGTGTGCTTCTCCCATTCAATCAAAGCCTCTTCGTACGTTGCATACTCTCTGTAGGAGGCATTTGGGAACTTATCTACCTGAGATTTACATTCCTCCCAATTATAAAAAAATACCACATCGTCGACATCTCTTCACAACATAAAAACTTTTTTTAGCCATGGATAACCTGAAAATACCCCAAATTGGAGGGTAAACAAAATAAACAAAACATACTTACTTTTACATATGATCAGTTAGCAAGCAAAGTAAAAAAAAGTAATTTTGGCTACTACGATACATGCTCCGTTCTTAATAGTTAGATCTTGTTTCCTTTTTCTTTCATTTTTACATATTTATTTTCAAAGTAATTTTGTATACTTTGTGTAGGATGAATCCAAATGCAGACCTGTTTTTCTATCCTTATTTCGTGTTGACAATATAAAGTACAACAGTTTTTGCCTAAATGGTGTAAAGGAGGAGGCAACCCAGTCCAATCTAAGACAATTTCTCTGACTCAAAAAGCTTCTGATCTCACAATAATGAAGCAATTAATCCTTTCTTCTAAAACTTCTGACTATCAGTTTACGACCCATGTTTTTGTTAGATAACACATGTTTACTGAGGTATTGAGCAAAATGACAACTAAGTAAGAAAAACATCATTATTGTAGAACTTTCGTATTGAGCAAAATGACAACCTCATTACGGAACAAGAACTTCAGTAACCAATTCAGAAAATTCCACAATCAGGACACATCTGAGGACAAACTCCCTGGTGAAAATTCCAGCGTGTCTATTAGCCACTTTTATATGTAGCAACAGGAACTCAAACACAACAGCGAGCAGCGTAATGAAAATTATAGCATAAGCAACTAGAAAACTTATGTACGTACCTTGTTTGATCTAGAGAAAACTCTACAAGGATCCTCTTTTGATAATTGTATAGGGAGGAAGAAAGAGGTGACTGCTGATTTACCATCAATTTGGATAAAAAAATATCGAGATCGAGATATGAACTTACTTGAAATGAGCGTCAACTAATCTGAGTTGGGGGAGAGAGCTCGAGGGAGATCGACCGCGGTCGGTAGTGATAGGGAGCCGGAGTTGGGGGAGAGGTCGGTAGCTTGATGGCTTGATGGAGGAAGTCGGTTGGCGGTGACTTGGAGCCGGAGTTTGGGGAGTAGTCAGTGGCTTGATGGCTTGATGGAGGAGGTCGGTCGACGGTGACGGGGAGCCGGAGTTGGGGGAGGAGTCGGTGTCTTTACTGCGTTGATGGAGGAAATCGGTCGGCGGTGACGGGGAGCCAGAGTTGGGGAAGTCGATCGACGGTGACGGATTTGGGGGAAGTCGGTGACAGGAATGAATTTTGGGATAAGGGTTTTGGAATGGGAAGAGAGAGAATGGTCACGAGAAGTCTTTAACTCCTCTTCGGCAAGTACATATATCAACTACTTTCTAGTGAGATACATCTAAAAATTTACCGTTTACAGGAACTCGAAATTAACATGTTTCTAGCTCAGATCTAACTTCAGTAGGAGACGAAGGCTTCAAAGGAGTCGAGCCTCACTTGTTGCCCCTTCTTCCTATCATCATCATCACTCTTCCCTTCGTCCTTGGCCTTTTCTCTATTCTTCTCCTCGATCTTCTTGCTCTTGATCATTACTGCGTTGATGGAGGAAATCAGTCGGCGGTGACGGGGAGCCAGAGTTGGGGAAGTCGGTCGACGGTGACGGATTTGGGGGAAGTCGGTGACAGGAATGGATTTTGGGATAAGGGTTTTGGAATGGGAAGAGAGAGAATGGTCACGAGAAGTCTTTAACTCCTCTTCGGTGACTTTTTTCAAAAAGGCCCCCGCTTTCCATTGTCGGAAGAGAGAGAATGGTCACGAGCTCGTACGAAATTGTCGGGATTCATCAAATACCAACAATTGATCACCTCGAACAATCCTCCAAATTCACTAGATCAAGTACATATATCAACTACTTTCTAGTGAGATACATCTAAAAATTTACCGTTTACAGGAACTCGAAATTAACATGTTTCTAGCTCAGATCTAACTTCAGTAGGAGACGAAGGCTTCAAAGGAGTCGAGCCTCACTTGTTGCCCCTTCTTCCTATCGTCATCATCACTCTTCCCTTCGTCCTTGGCCTTTTCTCTATTCTTCTCCTCGATCTTCTTGCTCTTGGTCATACAAATATCCATCCATGAGCCTGAGATCTCAGCAGAGCTCGAGCTGAGGATTGACATCGCCAGAAGCTTCTCCATTTTCTCCCCCACCCTAATTAACTTATTTTCACTTTTATTTGGATGGTGGTGAGAGAAATTGCGGAAGCAGGAGAACTTTTTAAGGGAAACTCGTGGAGACGAAAATTAGGGGTTGTTGGAGCACAAAAGTTTTTTTCTTTTTTTTTTTAAAGAGTTCGGTGAAAGGGTCCCTTCGAGCGTGCGCGTGGCGGTGCTTTGGGTGACGGGGATGGATTGGGATCGAGTTGATTTCTTGGAGGACAAGAAAAAGAAGGAATGACCAAGTCGATCACGCTAACTCTCACATATTTTATTACGCGGGAGTAAAGCTACTAATTAGAACATAAACACATACATAAGAATCATGTGATTCCTTTTCCCTTGTGAATTACTATTACGTATTATAGGTGCCAACTCTTTTTTGTCCTGGATGAGAGATTATCGCCTTATCATGTATCCACGTGGCGAGATCTAAATTTGCACGCGTTTGCGATAACGTTGTAGGGAACAAGATTGGAATCCTCTACTAAGACATAATGTCTCTTAATATCTCATAACGCATCCCCACATTTCATTGCATAGTACCTCCTCGTATGTTGTGCTTATGCACAAAATGGAAGGTGAAGATGCATTAATTAGGAGATATTAGAAGGCACTATGCCTTAGTAGAGGATCCCAATCCTCCTCTTCGTAGACGAGTCTTTTTCTCTTCTTGTCTGTACTCCGGCGAGTTCGCAAGGGCGCATTAGAGGGTCCTCGTTTGGACCCGGTCAAAGGCGCTCCAGTGTTTAAATCAATGCTTTGACGATTAAAAAAACCAAGATAATTAATTCCAGTTTTTTTTTTCCGGTTTGTTACTGCACGTCGATCTATCAAATGACAATTGTCAACTTGTTATCAGCTGGGTTTATTGCTCACCATAATACTTTTAAACAACGGTCAGGGACGTGCAGCCACGTGCATACGATGTTAGGCAAATACCTAACGCCATCGCATTTTTAAGTTAGATCAAAATTATGTGGAGAGAAGAACAGAAAAAATTGTCTCAGACCCGTTCCCTTCTTCTACCGCTCAGCCTGAACTAAATTCTTAATTAGATCCATCTAGGGTCGTAATTATGTCGATGAAAGAATTCTACGGGACATTTAATTTGGATTGTGGCATCGATCGCAATTAAATAAGATGGTTGAGGAGAGAATTAAGTGTTGGGCGCTACATTAATTGTTAGGCTTTCCAACAGCTGGGCTTCGACATTAGCGTTTCTCTTAACAAATCTAACATATATTTATAAAATCTTTTGAGAGGCTTTCCAAAACGCTGACGAAGTTAGAATTCTTAATTAAGAGCTAAACTCAACAAGCGATTAGATTAAATATTTGAATTTTCGGATACAATTCCAGCATCAAAGTTCAAATATTCACATAGGATTGAGAAAGTGGGTCATCAAAGTCTGGTTGAGAAGTTGAAAACAACTCCAAATCGGTTCCGTTCCGAATTCAAACGAGGGATGCTTGTCCCCCCTGTGAGAAGAGGCCAACTACTGAGTCGGTTCACTTAGAATCCACCAATCGTTAACAACTGTTTGTCATGTGGAGACAATCGTCTGATCTCTTACGATGACTAATGGATATTGGAGCACAGCTAGATCCCACCAAGTTGCGATTAAGGGCTGTCGGCGGTGGATATGTAAATATTGGAAAAAGGAAATAGGATTAGGGGTGAACAAAAAATATATGTGTCCGCATATATAGAAATTTGAAAGAACTTGATATTATTATTCGTTCTACTACAATGTTTAAACATAAGTGAAAGTGGAGATGTTCTAATAACCTGAGCGATGTCGAACTAAAATAAAGCAAGATAAGATAAACTAACTACATTTTTTTAACACACCCTCTCAAACTGTATTTGGGTTCCAAAAGCAGTTTGCTGAGGAGGAGAGTACATGATGATATGCTTGCGGATAGGGAAGGTTGTGGTGCTGGTCAAGGGAGAGCTTGGATAAAGGAAGCTTTGCTAGGAGTGCTAGCCAGAAGAAGCTTGGCTGAAGGGAGCTTGGTTGGGGTGCTGGTCGAGGGAAAGCATGGCCGACAGCGCTGGCTAGGGAAAGCATAGACTGGGGTGCTGAATGGGGGAAAAGTGTGCTTGTGGTGCTGACCGGGGGAAAACATAGATGGGACTACAAGATTGGAAAAGCATGGCCAAAGGTTGACGACTGGAGTTGTTGGCCAGAGAAAGTGTGGCTGGGGGTGTTGGCTGTAAGAGAGCTTGGCGGGGAGGGATCGAAAGAATGATGGCTAGAAGGATCTTGATGGAAGGGTGCAGGCTGAGGAAGGGCTTGGCCGTGGGTGCTTGGCGAACGTGGTGGCTTGTAGGGCGTCATAGAATGGTAAACAGAGGTGATGGTTGTAGCAAGTTGGCATCGATCGATGGTTAGCATCATTTCTGTAGCTGAGAGGAAAGTAGACACAGCTGATCATTGATGATGGTTCAGAGGCAATCCAGGAGGCGGTGTAGGTGCTTCAACATTGAAGGGAAACTAGTAGTTCTACATATTGTTGAAATAAATGAATCTTAGAGGGCTTTTATGGAAAGATATCATTTAATAATTGGATTCCATAGATGAAAATTAAAATGTGTTTAACAAGTGAGTTTTAGTCCCACATTGGCTATTGAATACATTTTAGTTGGTTCAAATTAACACACGTGTTATATATGGCATAACAAATGTGTTTGTATTATACACTTGTGTTGGTATATAAGCGAGCGTGTGAGCAGCCACGTGCGAGTGGGCACATGCGAGTGGACACGTACGAGTGGGCTCGTGCGCGCGGTCCGGGTGCATGTGCTTGCGCGTGCTCTTTTTGCACGTGTTGTCTCTAAACGAGCTTAAACGTTTTACATGTGCTCACTAAAACCAGTTGAACATTTCGCACGGTACAAACGTGATAAGGATTAAATAGGTTTTATTGCAGACATTACAAACATTGTAATAACTAGAATTCAAATATTTTTCTCCCATGAACCTTATAAAAGGGCTTCTTCTGATCATTTGAAAAACACAGAAAAACAAAATCTCATGTCTTCTTATTCTTTTAATAATTCAATAAGTTGTTAAGTATTGGAGGTTCTAGCGAACTACAGAAGTAGTTGTGGTGTTCACAAAAAGAGAGCGCTTCTTTAGACTGTAACTGTCTCATCCTCGGAAGTACTGTGCAGACCCAACGCTACCGTAGGTGGGACATAGTTTCTTCAAGGTCAGTCCTCTGTTAAGAGGACAATTTGGCACTTCTATAAAGTATTTCAAACTTAAAGTATTTTTAATATGATATTTCTAACTTTATGCTCTTTTCTTTCTTTCATGTATGGTTTGTTCAGTACTACTTTGAATCTGTTTTTATACTTGCTTTTCCCAACAATTTTGAAGAAACTATTTTTAATTGAACTTATGTCATTTGTTTCTGGAGTTGGTTTTGGTTCATATGCCTCTAAAATGGACATGTATGGAATGCTTGAATAGTTCGCTGGTCAGTTCTTCAAACGTTGGCAATAACGTATGAAGATCTGGCTGACGACTAATGAGCTGTTGGCAATGATATTAACAAAATACCCAAAACTAGATGAAAAAGATCATAATAGTGCAGATAAAATTGCACATTGGACGGAGAAGGATCAAATAGCCAGAGGATGCATTTTGTTGGCTATGTCCAATGTGCTCTTCGATGTCTATTGTTCTTCTTCAGTCACTACAAAGGCATTATGAGATGAACTGGATAGAAAATATAATACTGAAGACCTCGGGCTTGAAAAATATTTTGTGTCCAAGTTCTTAAAGTTTCAAATGGTTGAGGGTAAATGTGTAACATAACAAGCACATGAACTTATGTTCATTTTTCATGCTCTTCGAGAAGCTGAAATGGAGCTTCCTGAAACTTTTTAAGTTATGACAATCATCGATCAATTTCCTAATTCTTAGGAGACTTTTGAAATGTCTCTCAAGCATCGTAAGGAAAAAATAAATCTTGATGACTTGATAATTACCATAGTTATTGAGGAAGAGCATAAGAATCAGAAATATGTTGTGCCTGTTGAGCACCAACCTAAAGCAAATGTTATAACTTTTGGGAAAAAACTTAAAAACAAACCTGGCAAACCTGATGACAAAATCAAAGCCAAATC